TGGGGCTCCGGTTGTGGTGCCTTCGCAGAATCATCTTGTGGGGGGACATAACGGTCCAAGGCCGCTTGTGATGAACGCACACTCGAACATACCCTCCCCCTCGTCCTCCGTCCCATCGCTCTCTTTCGTCCCCTCCGACCTGCCGTCGCTACGCATCCCGGTCCCATCGACGTCCACGACTACCCCCTCTTCTTCCGTCCCCTCCAGCTCCTTCCTCTCCCCCTCCTCCCCCTCCTCCTCCTCCCTATTCGTCTCCAGCCCGTCGTCTTCATCCGTCCCGACCCCCGTCCCGACCCCAACGCCGCACGCCGTGACGCGTCGACCGAGGGCGAGCACGAGCCCGTGGCTGCCTAGTCTGATCGCGGACCACCAGGTGTGGTTTAATGACCCGAGGTTCGATGGGAGTTTCCCGAGTCGGGTGTTGCCGTTTTTGTATCTTGGGAATTTGTGAGTTTTTGGTCTGTCCTTTGTCTCCTCGTTCCGTCCGTGCGACGTTGGCTTTGTGGCTTTTCTTACTTGTCACTCGATGTGAGGATGGTTGATTTGAATGATGAGCTGACTGTCCTTTTTTATATATATTTTTGTTTGGTTTGGTGTGGGTGTTGTAGAAATCATGCTTCGAATGCGTATATGCTACATGCCCTCGGTATCACCCACGTCGTCTCAGTAGGCGAATGCGCCCTCGTACCACCACCCCAACACACCTCCGACTCCCCCTCCTCTCCCTCACCCACACCCCCCACCTCCCCCTCCCCCTCCTCCGCCTGCCAACGCCCCTCTGCCGGCGCTCACTTCGTGGCCGGCAAAGGCCCAGGCGGACAAGGCTCGCTCTGGATCGAGGAGCGCGAAGGGCGGATCAAGGTGCTGGATATCAAAGGCGTGTGTGATGACGGCATCGACACGCTCGAGCCTCAGCTGGAGCCGATATGCGATTGGATTGAGAAGGCGAGGTTGGAGGGGGGCCAGGTGTTGGTGCATTGTAGGGTGGGGGTGTCGAGGAGTGCTACTGTGACGGTGAGTGTTTGCGTTTCTCTCACTCTCCCCCCCTCCCCTGCGCTGTGTCCCCGGAAACGCGATGAAAGGACGGATGGACTGACGTTTCTGTTTAGATTGCGTATGTGATGAAGCACCTCAACCTCCCGCTCGTCGACGCCTACCTCATCGTGCGCTCACGCCGGCTGTCCGTGCTGATCCAGCCGAACATGCGGTTGCTGTACAACTTGTTAGGGTGGGAGGTCAAGCTCGCGCGCGAGAGGGCTGGCGGGGACGAGGGGAAGCTGAGGGCTGAGCTGACCAAGGCGCTGAGCTGGCCGTACCTCGCGAGGGAGGTGCATGCGCTTAATGAAAAATATCTGCATTGAGGGCTGGGCTACAGACCGTATTCGCGCATTCATCCTTGTGACCTCTTTTTGTTTTTGTTTTTGTTTTTGTTTTTTCTTTCTCTTCTCGTTCCTGGTCCTCACAACTGCCATCTTGTCTTTTTTTTTTTCGTTCTTCTCGCTTCTTCTCATTTCTCCTACTCTCTTGTTGCTATGCTGTATGAAAAAAAAAAAAAAAAAAAAAAAGATTCTCTGTGCTTTAATCTCTCTCTTTTGTGTTGCAACGTACTGTTCGATTTCTTGTCAGCTTGCCACCTTTTATTTTGTACATTGTCCTCACATGTTCTGTCTTGTGTCCTCTTGTGTCCTCTTGCCCCCCTCATGCCATACACGAGACAATCGATAATCTCTCTCTGGTCATTTTCATACGTGTACGCTACAGTACCTCACACGACTGAAATGACATCTCACTGCTCAAGCGCTCATGGGCCAGTCTCGAAAACGCGCAGATCGTTGTTAAGATGAATGCGACAATCTCAATAAATATTTTTGTATTATAAGATATGAGATGAAACATAGATTGCAAGGAAACAATGAAACAGATCAAGAAATATCATTATACAGTAAAAAGGGAGTATATACTACATACGCGGTAATCGATCTCCGTCTCCCCTCTCGGAGCACACCCCGTTTTTTCCTATCTCACCCCAAAAGCTGTTCGGTTTCGGTTTCTGACATCTACTGTATATATATTTACATTCTCTCTACCGCTTCTCTTTGACGAAGAAGTGGAGAATGACGAAGGAAGCGGAGGTGAATGCGACGAAGAAGATGCCCAGGAGCGCTATGTTCGGCCACCAGAATGACTAGGTGTGACAAGTCCGAGGGTCAGTTGTATGTGAGAGCGATGAGTGGGAATGAGCGTACCTGAGCACGGAGGCCAAAGACCGAAAGGATAGTCGCAGCAGGGACATCAAGCTCGACGCCATACTAGTTTTGCATTTTTGAGCACACCTGAATACGAGCCAAGAGACTTGATAAACATAAACATACCTTTATTTCCTTTAATTGCAAGTACCTCAACTCGTTCACTGCTAATGCTTCGAATGCAGCATGGAAGAACGAAACTGTGTGTAGCCACTGTAAAACAGGGGTCACAGTCTCACGATTGATCAACAATCCAGTGAACAGCAGACTGAAGAGTGATGTCAGTGAAATGAACGACCTGGACAAACAAGGATAACGTACTTGAATAACATGACTAGTGTTCCAACCAAGCTGGCAACACTAATACTGGCGAAAGCGATGGACAGGAGTAGAACCACGCTGGCTGTAGTCAAGTTGAACAATACAAGTGTGAGTAGGAACTTCCAGAACGCGGGAACCGTGGGCACAAGTCCAACAAGTCCATACACTATGCCACCAAAGACTAACGGCGGGACTAGGCGCAAGGGCAGGATATCGAATAGAACCTGAAACCATGATATCAGTGTCCATTATTACGACTAAAATTATGTGCTCGACCTTGGATGAAAAGTAGGTGAAGGACGAATAATATCCATTGGCTCTGCACGACTGGGGTCAGATTTTTTTTCTCCTTACAGCATAAACACGACGTACCTTTCGCGCATAAAGAGAATGCGTTCGTTGGCAAACAGCCCCAGGCTGGAAAGACAAGAGAATCCAAATAAGGCCAGTGTGAAGAAAAAGATCCCTATATATTCTCGTCAAGATTTTGTACCATACTGAAGCGAATGTGTGTACATACCGAGGCGGTTCTGGAAACCAGCAATATCATTGCTATAATATTGATCAGTATAGCATAACAATTAGCAGTATTGGTGCTGCTCACGTAACGTCGTGGAAGAAGAGCCCACAGATTACTGTTGCACGCATCAATAAGCAAAGGGAGAGAAAATGCGATATATCAACTCACATGCTAGAGCGATAGATGATAGATAATGCGCGGTCAACAGTGCAGGGTCTCGATACAAATTCTTGAAAGCCCGTCCACTCAAGATCCTGAATTGGGTACCCCAGCTAGCTCTTTTTCGTCCTCTCAAAAGTGTGCTCTCCACCGCAATGTCTCTCAATTCACCATCGGCTTCTCCAACGGTTTGCGCACGGGCCACCTCTTCAGTCTCGTTGCGAATATCTGCTGCTACATCACTGGCAAGATATGCGTCAACTAGAGCCGCAAGCCGAGGAGAGACAGGGCCATCGCTTGATTGAGAACCAGTGACAGCTTCTAGTAGCTGGGACGTTTTGCGTCGAATACTCGAGGAGATTGATACCCGGCGTGTGCGCATTTCAGTTTCCTCTTCGACAGCAGTCGAGGAGCGATCATTGGAGCGAACAGAGGTGCCCAAGCCCCGTTCTTCGTCTCGGTGAGTATCGTCTGCTGAGGGTGATGCCTCGTTAGGAGAGGGACTTGCTGGGCTTCGAGGTTCAATTGCTGCGTTCACAGTAAGGTCGACTGGAATAGTAGTGTTTGAGATGAAGCGACGCAAGAAACAGGCAGGAGACACTCACTCAGATAATCTGCGATGTTGAAACCAGGTGGACATGGCTGTCCAATTCCAGCAAAGTAATCTTGGCACTTTGAAAACTCGCCCGAGTACACCAATTTACCCTGAGCAAGAACGATAAGTTGGTCAAATAATGCAACAATGTTACTGCGGGGTTGATGGATTGTAAAAATGACAGTTCGGTTGTAATCGCGTGCAAGGGAAACCAAACTGTCAACAACATTGAAAGCGTTGTACGCGTCAAGACCTTGCAGTTCAAGTTAGTTTGAAAGAAGGTATGTCAAAGACTGTAGAATTACCACTGGTGGGTTCGTCGAGGAACAAAATCGAAGGGCTGGTAACCAGTTCACAAGCTATGGAAACACGTCTTTTCTCACCCCCAGAGATGGAACGGCGCCCTGCATCCAACGATAATGAGCTCAAAGGACACATTACCAAGCGACTTAGTTACCTGAGTCTCCTATTCTGGAATCCTTAATTCCAAGAATGCCCAACTCGTTCATGGTCTCCAATGTCCTGAATTTCTTAGCCTCCAAGCTCATCTCTCTAGGTAACCTCAACAGTGCAGAGTACAACACCGTCTCGTATACTGTCAATGTGCTCATGAGCGTATCTTCTTGGTCAACGAAACCCATGACCTTCTTGAACTGTGCATCCAACACTTCTCGGCCGTTAACGAGAGTAGTACCACTGACGACCCCACGTTTACGCTTCCGAGCGAGGATATCGAGGAAAGTTGACTTTCCAGCACCGGATGCTCCCATGATTGCCATCACTTGGCCAGGCCTAACAGAGCCAGATATTGAATCAAGGATAGTACGATTCCCAAGCGTATACGAAAGCTTAGAGAAATGAAGAGATGCAGGAACATGATCTGTCATCAATTTAGATGCTTCGTTTTCTGGAAGGCGAATCTTGCCAAAGTCACCGCCACTGCGAGTCCTTCCGGCATACCAGAGCACTGTGGAAGTATATGATATTCAAGAATCTCACCTATTGGGCGAACGATATAACTCACCTGCTACAGTAAGGATGACGATCAAACCTGCACCAGCAGTGCTGAGTGCGACCCATTTCGTATTGTCTGGTTTCGCAGGTCTCTGGTTACAGAATAACAGCTGAGTATGTTACCACAGGCGAGAGACAAGATACCTTACCACGTAACCAGGGACTTGAGAGTAATGCAAGCATTCACCACCTTTACATTGCAACGTTATGAACCCATCACCAAAGATATCATTGATGAGGGAATTCATGGCTGGTTCCTCAAACTTGCATCCCGAGCCTGTTTTGCAGCTGAAAGTAGCAGGGCCTTTGATCTCCTCTGTCAAAAAGTCGCTGATGTCTGAATAATCGGTTTTGAATCGACATAATCACGCGACAGCGGGTGGAATCTTACCGACACTACCGTCTTCACCACAAATAAACCTGTCCGGGATACATTTACACTTGATCTTCTCGCATGCGTAGACGGTGCTGTTAGTATCATATCCTGGTATGTTCTCGGATGTGCATTGTTCTAGACCACAGTAGAAAGATTCGACTTGGGCCGTCCAGAACTGGAAGGCGCAACTTGAAGTTGCGTTATCACAGCTGAATGTTACCTGCGGAGGTCGATCAGGGAGCATGTCGAGAATCTTGCGATCTACATGACTGTGAATACAGCAAGATAGAATGCTTCAAAATAAGCTTACTTGTCACATCACACATCTGGTGATTGTTAAAGACCGTTTCTCCGCCCGTGTAACACGTCATGTTTGCTCCAGATATTTCATCATTGCCGACGTGAGGTGTGCCTGCCAGAGGAAAACCTATACATGCGTCGTCCCTCTGACAAACTGGAACAAAAATATCAGAAATGTTTGTATGGATCCGGATAGATAGAAAGTATAACAACCATTGCAATTAATTCCACCCCAGCCGTCCTTGCAGTCACAGGATCCATCAGGTTCTCGTAGTCTGCGTTGGTCCCCATCAGCCAGAGAGTCGCATTCTGGCGAATGTAAAGAATGATATTAATACATCTAAAGCAAAACGATCGTGGTTGCGTACGTGGTTGCAAACAGTCGATTCCTCCCCAACCTGGTGGACACTTGCACTGCCCGTCAAACTCGTCACAGTGCCCATATTGTCCGCAGGTAAATGCAGGGAGCATACAATTGAAGCATGGCGGGCATTTGTCTGTAAAACGAGTAGAATAATTCAGAATCACTTCATGCACACATATGCTACGAAGCTGAGCACACCAAATGAGGTTGCTAGTGACTGCAAAGATATGACTATGAGTTCCACCCTGATATAAAGCTGCTCCACAACTTACGGAAAGCTCATAATTCGATACTCCTCGTGAGCTCCATGTCGAATTATCTGGTCGCCCGAAGACTGCTGGTAGCAGCACCAAAGTGAGCAAGGAGTTGGGCAGGAGATTTCGTATATCTGGGCGTAGCATGATATCCAATAAATGTAGTGCTCAACGTCGTGAACGGTGAGCTAGGCGCCAAGCTGTATGGGGCTGACGACGATAGTCAGACGCTGCGGGCTGCAGTGCTGGTTCGTCGTTCGGGTCCAAATTAGAGGCCGTGAGACTTATATTCCAAAGTAGGACAGCCGGAGGAAACCATCGCCGTCTCCCAGAAGAGCTCTGGACATGACTGACCATGAGCTTTGCTCTCGATTTGCTTTTACTTGCCACAGGATGGACTCACGTTTGGCTGGCTCCGTATACCAAGGTCGAAGAAAGCTTTAATCTACATGCCACCCATGATGTCCTCAGTTATGGTGTAGCCCCAGATGCCCTACATAATGTACGCCTAATGCAGTTTCTGCACGCCCGCCAATCCTAAAGTTTGTGAAGTATGACCATTTTGTATTCTCTGGAGTGGTTCCCAGAACATTCATAGGAAGTCTTATTCTTGCCTGGCTGTCCACCCCCATCCTGCACATCGCGAGCGCGTTCGGTTTTATCACTTCAAAACTCGACATTCAGATCGCAGGTACTGTTCCTTTGTCTAAGGTCTTGTAATAACTCCCCAACATGCACCTCAGTACGCTTGGTATTGTCCAGTCTGAACGCCTTTGGTCTGATACTCCTAAGGCGCGCAGTCTTTAAACGTTTCGGTCGTCCGACAGGTCTACTCTTTGTCCTGTTGACTTGTTCCCAATCCCATGTCCCTTTTTGGATGGGCAGGACTCTACCAAACATGTTTGCTTTATTCCCCGGTGAGCCCAAATACTAATGAAATGGTACAAAACCTGAACGTGTCGCGTCATTCCCTTCCAATACAGTGAATCTAGCCTTCTTCCTCCTCAACAATAGAGCTAGCAACTCCTTAAAGCCGTCTACGTTGAGTGTGCATGCAGCTTTCTCGATCTTGACATTCACTGCTGTGGTATTCCGCTCTGAGGTGGCTATCCTACTCGCTCCTCTTGCTCTGCAGTCGCTCTTTCTCCAGCATACGAGGTTCCTAAGCCTAATAAAAGTAGGTATTATTTCTGCCATTGCGTCAATTGGTACGTCTATGGAGCCTGATTATATTTTTCGAAGCATATTGAATATACTCTTGTTTGTAGCATTGACAGTGCTAGTGGACTCATACTTCTGGGATCAATGGCCATTATGGCCAGAGTTCAACGGACTCTATTTCAACGTGTTCCAAGGAAAAAGTGCCGAATGGGGTGTCAGTCCTCTTCACGTCACCGAATCTAACCTTCATGGAAGTTGAATCCTTGATTTTAGGTTTCACCCGCTCACGCCTACTTTTCATCGCATCTTCCAAAACTCCTCCTTGGTTCTCTCCCACTTTCTGCCCTCGGTGCACTTCTGGACGCTCGCATACGCTCTCTGTTGATACCCTGCCTTGCCTTTATTGCCCTTATCAGCGCCTTAGGACATAAGGAGTGGCGCTTCATCGTGTATGCCGTCCCAGTTTTCAATATCGCAGCAGCTCGGGGAGCTCGATGGATGTGAGTACTCCGATTTGCTACCATAGAGCTGTTCCCTGACGTTTGAAATCCAGGGTATCGCGCAGAAAAGGCCGCTTTTTCGGTCGACTTCTCTTTTTGGGTGCTACAGGCATCATCGCTGCCAACCTCCTCGTAACAGTGATGTACACTAGGGTATCCGCGGCAAACTACCCCGGTGGTTCCGCACTTGCAGTCTTCAATAAAAGATATGCCGATTGGGAGCATGGTGAGCTAAGATTGAGTTCATTCACTGTACGGTTGTGTTGACGTTTGGTATGATAGTACACGTCCATATATCAAACCTTGCCGCACAAACTGGCGCATCCCTATTTTTGCAGGATCACTCTCCTCCCCATATAGCACTTGCTCATAGCGCTTCTGCACCTCATCACTGGGTATACAACAAAACAGAATCCCTATCTCCGAAAGCCATCACTGCTTCTTCACAAATCACACATGTCATTGCAGAGGCCGGTCCCGAGTCTCAGAAGGGATATCTGAAGACAGGGAAGTGGGATATCGCCTTCAGCATAGAAGGATTTAGCGGGTGGAGGTTCAACCTGCCCTGGCGTGGATGGAGAGTGAACAATAAGGCAAAGATCTATGAATGGGTGTCCCAGGGTCTGGGAAGTGTGATGGAGATGGACACTCGGGAGGAGCTATGGGTCTTGGAACGCACCTGATATTACGCATGGCAAATGCGAGTACTGTGTAACTCAACCAGCCAGTTTTCATATCAATACATTTGCATGGAAGAACTCATTCCAGCTGTCTTCCTAGTTTCACGGGTCATATGTGTGTATCTTCTCTGATGAAGCGAGGAATTATTGAACCAGAGAAGTGTAAAGCATGCCTTTGTAAACTACAGTCAAAAAACATGTCATTGGAAACACAGATAATTAATTGTACACGTGTTCTGAAGCTCAGATTTCCAAGAAACTATTTTCTCCCAAAGCCATCATGTTCGCGCGCCACATCCTCGTCATGGACTGCTTATTACCATTGGCGCTTGTAATTGACAGTGTTCTGCGATTCATGCTGTGGTTCATCTGATGGAGACATAGCCCTACCTGAACCACCTCGCAAGAAATCGACGCCCTACCATTGGTCTACACTTCTGATAGCTGCTACCATATAAATAGGACACTCGTTTACATACTTATTTGCGCCATAGCTGCCACAGGTTAGAATCCAAATACAACTTGAATCTCGCAGCGAAGAGGCTGAAAGCGCAGGCTCATTTTTGCCAATATGGACGCCCCTGCCAACGAATCGACCCACCTCACCTGGGGTAATGTTGGCCTCGGTTTCTCCTTTATTCTCTTTGATGCTTTCGTCTCCACGTCGTTTGGTTTGGGAGTCGGTAGTTCACTCGTAACTTCTGCGGTACGTTGTATCGTGCAGCTTGGAATCGTCGCATTGCTCTTGCAGAGGGTATTCGAAACCAATAATCCATGGGCAGTTGGTGGTATTGCTTGTAAGTTTTCTGCGACAACATTCCATTGATCGATTTGTTTTTGAAATGGTCACGGTGTCATTTACTGAATGTTTCAAAATCCAGGTTTACTGAATCTCTTAGGGACATTTGAGACAGGTCTGTCTCAGATCACTTTCATCCCATGATATGCTCGTATCTCATATGACTTCAGTGGTGAACAAGTCGAAAAAACGGTTCAACCACATGGTACGCCCATGGTCATATTACTGCCGATTTGGCTAAGCCGTCCATATGACAGTTTCCCTCCGTGCTGTTGAGCATGATAGCTTCCACGATACCGGTATCGATAATTGGAATAAAATATGCCATGTCCATAGATCCGTTCTGGAAACCGGAGCAATATAGTACAGTAAAATCATTTGTGGTGTCTTACTTTGGCTAACTCTATGCGCAGTTCCCATTGTGGGCATGCTGTGTGGTGGCACAATCTCTGGAATTGTCGTATCTATCACTTATGTCCTCAAGGAGTTACAGTATGTCGGATTCTCTCCCAATGATTCATTAGCTGCAGGAAGTCCTGACCTCCTCGCGTACCTCCCCTAGCGATAATCGCGACAAAGTAGAAACTTATCTCGCATTCGGAGCTTCCAGGTTCGAAGCTTGCAAGCCTATAGCACGCGACGCATTGAGGTTGGCTTTGACTCCTACCATCAACCAAATGAGGTACGTCCAAATGATTAAACCGAGACATGTTAGGCCCGGCAATCTCATTATGTCTATAGTGTCATTGGAATCATCGCCATCCCCGGAATGATGACTGGTGCTATCCTTGGAGGTTCCTCGGTCAGTCAAGCCGCGAAGCTGCAAATGGTGATCATGTTCATGATCTCTGCGTCCACCGCACTCGCATCGATTATTTCGACCGTGCTGACGCTTGGTATGGTCGTGGATAGCGACCATAGGATACGCAGCGACAGGATCGATGTACGGGAACACGCTTTGTGGAGAGGTAGGAATTGGGTTCTTGGGAAGATTGCCAGCGGGTTCTGGGTCATGGTGGGACCAGTAACTAGACCATTCAAGAAAAAGTCCACCCTTGAAAACGGCGAGGAAGGGCAGAGACTCCTGGGATAAATGGAGAGTCAATAATATAGATATATAACTTGAATTCTGATAAACATTGATTACTGAATTACTGAGCTTTGCAATCGATTGTTCTTTGTCGTGGACAATGGTGCTTGTGGCCGCCATACTGTTTCAGCCACCCCCATTGATCGCCTAAAGCAGCCGTTGTTATGATCGTGTTTGACTTCTGTGGCAGATCCAAAGCAAATGTCCGAGTCACTGCCATCCTATTAGTTCCAGTCTCGCCTGACCGTGACCTTGTCTGTAAAGTATCCGCTCTTCATCCTGCACCATTTCATCATTGCGCCATGGTATGTGCTCGCATTTTTAATGTATTTTACTGAATTAACAAACAAGTCGCGTTGATGCAGTCGACATACGGTCGTAGCAGACAGTCTATTGCCGATATCGAACAGGAATTGTACGAAATATTTAACAGCCATCCCAACTCTCGACCCAACGAAGCTGGGGAACCAGTCATTCCAGCAGACGCTTTAGTCGATATTTTCCGCTCTTTTTCTGACATTTACAATGGCGTCGAGCTCCTCACGGATGACGAGACGGGCATGCTGAAGGCACTACTAGCCAGCAATCCTGGACTTGAAGTCACTCCACAGACTCTTCTTGCATTTATCGCGGAGAAAACCAAACACAGTCCTCGCGACAGTCCAGATGGTTCTCCACAAGAAGACGACACGATACTACCTGACCGCGGGCGGATGCTAGATCGGGACGAGGATAACGTGTACTCACGTTCCTCCAGCAGAGATAGCAGAAGCTCTGCGGGCACTTCTGTATATATAGACATACCCAGTCGACCGCCTTCAGTGCCACCAAAGACACCTACGTCGAGAACAGGACCTTCTCCCTTTGACACGTCACGACGGCAGCGTTCGACACCGCTTAATAACGCGCCGTCTAGTTGGACGAAGAAACCCGCACCAGCACATAGACGAAAGAGCATTGACGGAAGCGCTGGACGTGCGTCGAGTGATTCTGAGGTTCGTATCATACGCTAGAATATTCGCGTGGCTTTGCTGATATCTGCGTACTAGTCATCATTCTCATCAAGTCCAACCACCTTTGGTCGTACACCAGGTCGCACACGCGCCCCTTCCAATCCCACAAGTCCGTCTACATCATTCTCTGGCGCGTTCTCTCCCACTCTAGGTTCATCACCATTCGGGCACCCCATCTCGCGTCCACACTCCCGTGCTCAATCTCAACCATTCAATAGCTTTGCCCAAAGCTTTGGCTCTCCAGACCGTGACCTATCTCCCGACGACATGTCACCTTTGCGTGATCGTGATTTTGGAAATTCGTCATATGAGTACGACCGGCCAGAAGAAAACATCATGGATTCCATATCATCTCTGCCTATGCCGAGAGCAGGGTCCGATGACGACGATGGCGACTTTGACGGCGACTCATCTCTCGGACTTGTTTTGGACCGCTCTGTCGTGTCGTCTACGGCTTCCTTAGAACCTCAGGACCGTCTCGATGCTCTTCAGCGAGCCAATCTAGAAATGGGTCGAAAGTTGATGGATGCCGAGCGAACGCTGCAGAATAAGTTGTCAGAACATGACTCTGAGCTAGAAGAGTTTCAAGGTCGCCTGGAGGAACTGAAAAGTGAGCTGAGTGCTACGAAGAGAGAAGAGAAGGAGCTCAGATCAAAAGAGGTACGTTGATTTTTTCTGCCTCACGAACATTAAATTAAAGCCCACCACCCTTGTCCTCAGCGCTCGAACTCGACTCAAATTGCTGCCCTAGAGTCGGAAATTGCCAAACTACAGAAAAATCTGGAGAATGCTCGCTCCGCATACCAGAGTCTTCAGAAACAGTATCAAGAGCAATGTGGTATGTGGACGTCTCCTCTCCCTGATACTTGTTAGCTGTCTATTGATACCTCGTTCCTAGCCGAATCTGAAAGGTATCGCAATACGCTTCGTCGTAGGGATCAAGAGATAAAGGACCATCAGGAAGCCGCCGCGCTGCAGGTCCTTGAAGCACACAAGTATGCTAAGGAACACGACAACTACGAGGAACGTATCGCGCACCTTGAGAATGAACTGGAAATTACTCAGCAAGCTCATGCTCAATTGGACGAGCAGAAACAAGAGAATCTCATGCTGAAGGAGACCATTGACCGCATGCGTTATGATATGGACGAGATGCGGAATAGTGCTACCAATGCTACTCAAGGCGGATCGAGTGCTGGCTCAAGTGCAGCAAATTCGATCAGCAAGAGCTTGGGAGCAGAGCTTCTAGGCAAGATGGGAAATTCGCGATGGGGGCTTAAAGACGAAGGCGAGGAAACTATAGAAGAAGGCGATAGCGGAGAAGTGGAGATGGATGACGATGATGACACAGAGGGAGAGGAAGAGGAGGATGTCATCCAGACGATTATCACGCGTAAGAAGAGGGTACGTTATTTTGCGACGACTCCTAAATACGGACGACTAAAATTTTTTTTTAAATGTATTTCAGAAAGTTACAGGTCGTACAAACAAGGTGGAAACCACGACTTTCGAGGAAACCAGAGAATACTCCGACGCGTATACTCAATATCATTCTGACGAGCTCACATCGGTGCGAGAGATACAAACTGACCCGGAGCCTTCAATCCCTACTGCATCCTCCTATACGCAAACCGATGACCCGCCTGTAGTCATTCCAGTTTCGACGCAAACCGACCCAGAACCGGTGATAATACCCAAGCTTACTGCCAGTATCGAGATCCAGACGGATGACCCCGAGCCAGAAGTATCTCGATCACCATCTCCACATGTTACCCCCGAAGACGACGAAACCATGGCTTCCTCATCTTCTACCGTCCTACCACCAACACCCAAGGCACAGTCTTTGGATCATCTTCACCCTCACCCTCATGACCTTCCACCATCCTATCACCAGGTCGCAGAACTGGATGAGGATGAAAGGGACTGGCGAGTAGCCGCGGAAACCCTGAAAAAATGGCATGAAGGGGTGAAAATACCCATCGAGCCAGCCCCGAAGGGTATATCCGACGATGCAGTGGAGGAATGGAAGGCAATCAAAGAGGAGCTTGGTATTGATTGCATGGTGATCGACAGACTAATTGCATCGTCAGAGAAGACAGGACAACCACGTCTCTCTAAAGACGGTAAACCGTCGCGCAAGAACCGCTTTTATAATATCTACAACACATACGTTTATGGCGCCGGTAAAGACCGAAGCCCTTCATTCCCCGGTGCTAACGCTAGGCAGATAATGCTTTGTATGGGTGCTTCCGCTTTCGTTCTCTATATGATGGCTCCGTATATGGCGGCGCAATATTCAATTACGGGGGGCCCTACGTATTACGACCGATCTGCATGGAACAGCTTCAACAGTATGCAAGCTCCTGGGGAAGGCTTTGGTTATGACGGTACCGCAGCCGTTTGGAGTTTCATGGGTCGTGTTGGAGGTGGAGCAGCCAGAATCGCACGAGGTTGGCCGACTTAGGTTTCTCCATAAAGTCGAACTCGTTCATACCCCCTATCATGTTATTTTATCTCGTTCAGATACCCGCACGCACCCCTACTCAATCCACTTTTTACTCACCTACTGAAGAACATTCATTGTCGCTCATTATACTTGCAACTTTTGCTCTAATTTCTGTTACATCCAAGCCTCTTTTAGGGTTCTTTCTGTGATTGTGCCGTAGAGCATTTGTGTAAACTAATGTACAATGCGGACTTTGGAGCCGCTTATGAAGACGTCTAGCACAAGCTACCTAATTCTAAATCGTCCGCTCCAAAATTGAGAGAGAAAATAAGAACAACAAATGGTTGAAATACATGGAAGAAGAAAAATTCTAAGGAAGAATAGAGAGGAGAATAAAGAAAGAGACTAGGAGCGAAAAAGATAAATGCGGTATTTGTGATGTAAAACTTGGACCAATATCTACCGACGGTCCACATAATGATAATGACTTGAATGCTTTTTTGCATGAAGAGTCCTCTCGACTACCCACCATCATTCTATACCGTCATTCTTCCTCACTGTCTGACCTTGGTGGGGGAGAAGCGGCGGTGACCGACACTGAAGGCCTCCGTCGCTTCACTTCGATTGGGATGCTGTCATCGTCACTCTCACCATCATCTTCCTCCCCATATATCTGACTCGTATTCGCGCGAATGCCCTCAGCTTCACGTTCCCACCGCGTGTCCCTGAAAAAGCTCGAGTCGTCATCAAACTCGTCATCGTAGTCATCCTCTGCGTTATCTATATCAGAACCATATGCCACCTGTGCAAGTGGACTGGGGCTTGTGGTCGTTGATCTGACCTGGCCCTGGCGACCATGATCCTGCGTAACGGGGTCGACTACAGTTGGGATCGAGGTTCCTATAAGTAGACGCTGAGGCTGCGGTTGCCTAAGATGTAGCGGGAGATTGCTAATCGCTTCGGTCATTTGATTAAGACCCAATGGCAGGTTTGATATTAATGTGCTTGGGTCATTGCATACGCCACCTGCACCGAGGAACATGGCATCATCATCAATCCCTTCCTGGTCGCCCGAATGAAGACTTGTCACGTCTTCAATGTAACCACTGTGACCGTGAACCGGCTCCCCCCAGCTGGAAGCGCGTCTCGCGGCCGTGAGTAAACCACTGCTGTTATTACTCTGTCGAGAGTCCCTTCCGTGATGACGAAGTATCTCATCACTTCTCCTGGCAAAGATATCTGTTGATGTCCTGGCTTTGACATTATTGTCTTGGGAAAATGATGTTGAAGCAGAAGCGTCTAGGGGTGATGAATCGTGGGATGTAGGTTTGTGACCTCGCCATGACTTCATCGAGGACAGAGAGAACCTGTTAAGGAATTTCTCGTTTTCACGGTTCTGTAAACCAGGTCCATGATCTTCTACGCCATGACTAGATGTCGGGCTACTGATTTGCGAAGAACCCCATTGAGACTCAGCAGGTATCAGCAGCGTCTCTGATCCTCGGCGGCCGGTATTTGGGACACCGACATTTGAATTATGAGAAGTGTCTTTAGACGAACGTGCCCATCGTTCTATCGATTTCGATCGTCCACCGAAATTGGGGGTAGAGTCGTTCCTGAGTATTACTGACCGCACACCAGCACGTCGCTTTCCTTTATCCCTCGACTCAGAGCCTGACATTCTGGCACTGGCACTTTTGTGTCTCTCCATCGCTATTGATGGAGAAGAGCGAACGCCAAAATTATTGTCGTCACGACGTGATCCAGGCTGACGGGGAGTACGAACATTGCGGAAGAGAGATGATATACGATTTGTAATACGTTTGTGCCATCCCCACGTAAACCGCACTGTGGTCATTGCTGTACGAGTTTCTGCGTCAGAAACCATAACCATATCGTTCTTTCTAGGTGATGTCTCGCGTAGCCATTCCTGAGAGCTCGCAATGTCACGAAGAAACCACGGGTAACGCTGAAAATTGACGTATAAATATACCAGGTCACAAAAACTAAGATGATAGGAATTACTTACCTTGGCTTCGTCGAGTGTCATCCGCTTACTAGCATTTTTCTGCAGCAGGCGATCAAGCAGGTTTATGACAATAGCTCCCTCGGTATTTGACTTGCGTGGATGTCTTCCTCCAGTCAGAATACGATCATAGCCCATAGTTTCATCCACCTCCCAATCCTGGTTGCAGATGATCTTGTAAAGATTGTATTCACTCGAATCAGGAGCCATGAAAGGGACGCGACCAAACAGAAGACAGTACAAGGTGGCACCAAGGGACCAGATATCGATAGCTTTCGTGATCGGTTGTCTCCGTGATGTATGTCCCCGAATCGTTGAAGAGGAATTCCCATGTGAAATGGATTTTGATGATGGAAGAGTACTACTAGTAGCGGTTACGGAGATTGATGGAGAAGTTTCAGTGCTGTATTCAGAAATTACCTCTGGAGCGAGAAAAGGAGGTGTCCCTGCTCTCTTAGATAAATCAGAGTCGTCAAGGAGGATGGGATCGTTGGGGTTGTCTAGGGCAACTTGACCCCTGCCGGCAGCAGCAAGACGCTGGGCATAGGAGAAATGTGAGACGCCAAAATCGGTTATCTTCACCATTTGACGATCAGCTGTCCATAACAGATTGGCCGGTTTTATGTCACGGTGAATGATACCCTGGTAGTGCACTGACAACACATGGGGGCAAGAAAATAATGATAAGCAAGAACCGACTCCACCAGAAAAAACCACTTACAATATTCGAGACCAAGTATGACATCTCGGCAAATGCGTCGACATTGGTCTACTTTCAGTATAGGCTCGTTGTTGCTATTCCTCCATTTAATTTCTCCGCCGCTGAGATACTCCATGACTAGCGAAATTATATGTCAGTTTGTGACTGTATAGAGCGAGACGAAGTCTTCCTGTCGTACTGCCTCCCAAAATGAAGCCATAGGATCGGAAATGCTCGATTTGAGACACTCACCCATGGCCCGAAGTGGGGATGTAGATAGGCAGGACGATCTTCCGGCCCCACGGCAAAGAGCGAAAGATGCTTACCCATGTATATCCTATCGTTGAGTTTATCGTCAATCACCTCCAGCAATCGCACGATATGACCATGGCGACACTTCTTCATGATTGCTATCTCCTTTCGTATTTTATACTCTGTACTGCCAAGTTTGTCTGCAAGCGGTGTATGGGGTGAAGACGGGAGATTTCTCCTGCGCAGAAGGTTCATTTTTTCAGCGCGAGGGTTGTTGCGCTTTACGGCTTTGATAGCCTGCGCATATCAAGTCGAAAGTACATAGATTTAGTGCCAGCTAGTGACAAAGATGGGATACATGATACTGACGAGCTCCTGACGATTGCTAGACAGATCCCAACACTGCCAGACCTCGCCATGCTGGCCCTTGCCGACTCGATGGCCACGAAGATACTGGTTGACTATTGGACGTCTGTCGTCTGAGTGTTTGAAGCGCAGCTCTGCGGTCATGCGTACGGTTCCAGGAGGATCGAAAGGCAAGTTGGAGCCTTGTGCAGATTGATTGCGTTCGGATGAATCTATATCGGAGGCCATGTTGAAGGGGATCGCATACGTGCTGGTGGGTGATGATGGGAGAAAGGAAGAGAACGAACGGGTTTAAAAGTTGGGATGTAATATTCAAGAGGCGCAAACAAAGAAAGAGGTAAAGTAAAGAAGTAAAGACTGGAGCGAAGCGGACGAGTGGTTTTGACCAACGAATATGTGTGCGTGCCGTGACCCCAGTCACTCTGTCATATGATCTCGCTGTCACGTCTCGATATATTCTTATTCCTTTCTTTACAGTACATCCGAGTCCTACCAGCGATCTGCCTTTCCGCGCCCAATCATCCTACCGTGGGCACACACATTTGTCCTCCTCTTTCACGTTCTGCATGACCTGTGAATGCATCAAGGTTAGCATTTCACATTCAGGGTTGCAAGAGCGTCTATAAATTGGGGCCCTCTCCCAGCACTCCCAAGAGAACCCTCGAAGCACACACATATGTTCCAAAATGGGCATTTTCCAAAGGGAGAAGACCGTGATGGGGTGTCTTCGAAAGGGACAGCATCAAACTCAATCGTGGAAATGTCCTCTCGGGCCCCAGTTCTTGGTTTATCGTGTACGAATACATGGCACGAAGGCTCACCTGCTCAGCGTGTCGCCCGCATCCCTGTATAGTGTAAAGTAAGTTGTGTCATTAGTCACCAATTCATATAGTACTTCATATCAGCTCGCGATCGCGGGGCGTGGATTCTATCCTTGACCCCCACCGTAATTGCCTTCTACTTCCGCGGCTGATATACACTCTGAGCGTCGCTCTCGAGTTCATCCTTGCCCAATCACCACCAGCAACGTTGCAGGAAGACGATACCACCAGGGAGATAGATAGTGGCTTACCTTCCATGTTGTCTTTCCGCACTTATCACAATTCACTGTGTAACAGCCGTCAACGGGAATCGCGATTTCTTGCGTGGCAGCCATTGTTCAATGGATATGGTAAATCTGGTCCTACGTTAGCGTTTCCCGCTTACATGAACGTTACATCATGATGAAAGACAATCATGGCCTCACTTTTGATTTGCGCCTAGGTTTTCGGTCTAATGAGGTTGAGAGGAGCCAGGTGACTCCCAAGTCAGAAAGTCAAACCTGCCTTTATACCGGTTTCACACTCGGATCGATCACCGACGATTCTGTATTATCTTTATAACGCTGTGCCATAGCAAATTCTGCAATCTTGTCAAAATCAGCCAACGTCACTGACACATGCTCCGGCGGATGCGCTCTACAGCATCCGCTGATGGACTAAGAAAAAGCAATTCACGTGATCGACCCGCGTGGATACAGGTGAATTCATCAATCTCATTGTCAACGAGTGCAGGGGCACACTTGGACAACGTTCTCTTACATGTAAGCAGACATACCCGAATTTGCATTCATATTTCACAAATGCCTCACAGATCTACACGTAATTCATCGTTCACGCAGCATCGAGTGACACTTGGCGGTGCGTGGATAAATGTATCAAGTCTGTTGAAGACGCCTCGGTATGATATAATGTGTGTAGTCTACCAGTACAAGCCCACCCAACAGGATAATAACTAAAACATGAGAGGGAACGGGGTATTACAGGCATGCTACATTGTGCGGTCTATGAAAACAAGGTATGAATATTCATACATGCGTTTTACGAGGCTAACCTTTTAGCGACCATCTCTCTCTTTAAGGAGGACAACCCTCAATCGCCGCAATGCTTCGTTCACCTGCTCTTCGGTCGACAAACTAAACGCCGCCCGTACGTACGAAGTCTTACGACCATTGGGCAAGAACACTGTGCCTGGGAGTGCAAGAACGCCTTCTTCATAAGCCTTATTTCGGATAAGGTCCTCTGAATCGCCTTCATCAACTGAGGCGTCACCAGGAGCATTCATCAAAAGTTTGAACCTATGAAAATGTCAATAAATCAGTGCAACGAAATAAATGATCCAGGTACGTACCAGAAGAACATCCCAGCTTCTGGTGTCTCCCATTGCACTAGACCATCCAAATGCCGACGAAGAGCAGCTTCGAAGATATCCCGTTTCTCGCGATAGAACTGGGAAACTCTTTCCGTGTGAAGAATAAAGTTGTCATAACCCCAAGATTTCACTAGAGCAAGTGTTACAACCTGTGTAAAGCTTGATACTTGGAGGTTGGACGTTCCAGTCTGTGAACCAGATCAATATAGGCACAGGCACATTTAATCAAAGTAGTAAGGTTTACATGCATGTCCATGGCGTCGAGCAGTGCTACGGGGCCCGAAGCAAATCCGATACGGATACCAGCCGATAAAATCTTGGAGAGGCTGTCGAATCGCAATACGCGACCAACCTCTGGTTCCTCCATCTCAAGAGTGAAGTAGGAAGGGGGACGCTCGGTTTTGCCATAGTACAAGAAGTAGTATGGGTCATCTGTGTCAACAGCTGAGCTCTCTGTTTGGAAAAAACTTATTAATATCTCGTACCTTCAAGGATGAGGAAGTTATGCTTTCTAGAAAGCTCTAAAACCTCCTTTCGGCGTTGAGTGGTAGCAGTCATACCCGTAGGGTTGCAACCGTACTATGGATCGTTGCTAAGAACCAGTCATATCGCGATAAGAGATAAGCTGCTTACTGGAACCGTGTACAGCACCTTGGGCTTTGGCTTCCCAGCTGGCCAGTTCTCGAGAATATCACGTAATGACGAGGAGCAGATGCCGTCAGCATCAGTATCAACCTCTGGCAGATGAGAAATCAGCATTGTGAAATTCCGATATGTATACAAATATGCAAATACTAACCGATTTGGTCACAATGGAAAGTTTTGAATAACGGAATAACACCACTGTAAAAGAAAATGAGAAACAACTCCATAAAGATCCCGCTAGGTGTGCTTACGCATAGACAGGTGATTCTACGAGGACAGGATCACCGTGGTCGACCAAGGCGTGAACAGCCTAGTGACAGATAAGCTGATGTTGGACACATTTTGATGTGTCGATTCCTACCTTGTAAATCAGATCCTGCGATCCCGAACCGGTGGAGATTCTCCAATGATCGGTCTTCTTCCTGCCGTGCGAGTGGCCTTGAAGACCACAAAACCAATCTAAAAGGGGAGCAAGACCAGCAGTATCTCCATATTGTAAACCGGCGGCTAGGTCATTGGGGTCGACGGTGATGGGAACCTCTTGTGTGGGGTCCTGAGGCGATCGAATGGTGAAGCTCAAAGAAGTGAAAGGGAAAGTTGCAGCGTTCGGTTTCCCTGCCAACAGAGATAGGACACCGGGCTTCTTTTCAAGAGGGAACAGCCCACGAACTACGGGGTCAGAGGTTAACAAGAAGGAATCGTGTGGGATATATCGGACACTCACTGGGACTAGGTTTTCTCTCTTTCGCAGCTTGAGACAAGAATTGGTCATAGAATGATGGTGGGAGATAGTTCAATCCATCTGATGGTGACTTTCCATCGACTATGTTGTCAGTATGTCCGTTGGCGTGTCCGTTAGTGGCTACCGCAGCCATGTCAGATAAGAGTGTGTTCGGTAGAGCAGTAGAGAAACCTGGAATTTATTGCAGCGTTTATATAAAGGAAGGCAGTTACAGAAAAAAATAAGGGGGGATCCTAAGCTCTGCAATAAATCGACAACTGTAGGACTGTGTCAGTGTCTGATATACTGCAAAGATCTGCCGAACAGCGCGGGATTATCGTCTGACTCAGATGCGTATCGCGTATTTTTTCGTGAACGGCTTCCCAATCGTAGCGGCGCCTGGCGCCAATCCCCGACTCTGGGGTAAACACAAACAAATCTTAAGGCCTTGCTAAACTTTTGTGCATGAAAACTGTTGTGCCAACTTCATTTTCAAGAGCATATACAGGTTTGTTTACTGACACTGATAGAAGATGACATGATGTTACCAAAAAAAACACCCATTTTCCTTAGGCTGGTACAAAGATTCACACCATTATTATGAACTATAATCCGACATCTCCCAATCAAGGTCTAGGTCTTCTTAGTGGGCAATTTGTCTTCAGGAAACATTTTATAACCAGAATTTTTGTGTGCAATGCTACTGCATTGTTGTCCATACAGTATATTAAGACCAGGATAGATCACAGTTTAAAGTGATGGTGAAATCAATGTATTTTTGGTCAAGTTGCATACTGTATTTGTCACTATAAAAGTTTGTCACATATCATGGAGCTCTTTATATATAATGCTGGTCAAAAGACTAATAACTTAGCTGAAAGCAGGCAGTAATAATAGTATACAAGCACTGGCAGTGGCATATGGGAATGAAACCAAGTCCAAATTGCACCAGTGCAAACTTGAACACTAGTTCAGAGTTGGGGAAGGTGGCAGAACCTTAAGATTGTTATTTCGCTTTATTTATTTTTACTAATTGGCATTATTTTGTTTTTACACTCTACTAAGGTACTGCAATCTCAATTTCAAAAAGTTCAGGTGCACCACACTCAAAAACATGTCCAACCACTGATAGTGCTCATTTTGTAGAGCAATCAACAGAGTGATGGCCATTTTCTACCCACAGAACCCTCCTCAACTAATGTTTAGAGTCGGCGATAACATGGCCCTCTGGGGCAAACCTGGACCCCATTGCTTTGAGTGATGAGTAATGATCCCCAGTCAAGAGTGGGAAATTAGTAATTGATAGTAAATGATAGAAAAATGAAGGAAATGATAGAAATTGTGAAAAATGGTGTGAATGGTAGTTATATTTCTATATATATCTATTGGTATCGTCAATCAAGATTTTGGTAAAATGTGAATGAGATCATTTTGATTTTGAACTTGTCTCAAGCTGTGTGTCGAGCTCAAACTGTTTGCATTCAGTTGAATTGAGTGCAAAGGATGTCGCGATGATTTCACTGCGACATTCCTTGCACTCAATTCAACTGGCTTTGCTCTGCTTTCAACCAATACAAGGTAAATCTGTAAATTTATTGTCTTGCTACATTTAAACACCTGCTTACCTTCATATGTCTGAATCAGACAGCTAACTCCATTATAAGTCTATGAGAATAAGATGGCAGAGAGGTCTGAATCAAGAAACCTTCCTGGCAATAATCATGAGAATAAACAATGGTGTGAATGCACTCCCCTCTGCAATGGAGGCAGCTGGATATCCATCAGATCATGGTCTTGACATGCACCACATCGAATGGACGCAAATTTATCGGATGAAGTTGACCACTATCTGGAGCACAGGACTAGGAGAATACCCCAGCAAGTCGACAAACAAAACTCAGGTCCTTCTCGGGTATGTTTCAATCAATTTATCATCCATCCATATCTAATTTACTATCTAATAGGTATCAGATGAAGCTCCTCCAGACGAAGCTCCTCCAGAAGCTCCTCCTCCAGCTGAAGGTCCTCCAACTATAGGCCTAACTGAACAGGACCTTGAACAAATGGCCAATCTTGCTCGCCTTGAAGACCTCAAAACAACAATGGAATTCATTAACACTATTCACAGTGCCTTGTTGGATGACCACTATCACCAGAACCATTCTGGCCTTGTGGAACGTCTTCGAAATCCCTCTCAAGAAATATTTGCCATCAATAATCCCTTCATCCACTACTCCCTTAACCTCTTCCTTGCCACAAATAACACTTCCAAAGACACTTACAACAAAGCACGTGAATCATACTACCGCCTACATCCAGAGAATCAAGGCAAGATTCTTTTGTTATACCAAATCAAACACTTTGTGGCCGAGGAAAGTGGAGTCGATGGTATCATTCACAACATGTGCGTGAATAGCTATCTTGCATTTACTGGACCTTTTGCTGCACTTGAGGTTTGTCCAAAATGTCAAGAACAACCGTGACGATACAGTCACATCAGGAAAAATGGGGGTAGCTATATAGAGCTCTATAGCACTATAAGTACTCATAAAGCTGTTATAGTGGTCAAACCTGCTATAGAACCTCTGCCATCTATAAAGCCTCATATAGCTCTATAAATGCTCTTATAGATGTTGGAAATTGTTGTGTGGCTGATAAACAAAAACTAACACAGACAGGATTTGAACTCTCAACCTGCTGGTCAGCTTGTGGGTGACTAAGCAACCTATAGCCACACATCACATTTATCCACTACACCATGAGAACTTATAAAATGTATTATACAGGTATTATATATTGACCTTTTATGGACTTAGGTTATTTTTATACTCATTGTCACCACTTATATTTAGATAAATCATTATTCTTATTTTTATAAATATCAAAGATAAACTACTATTTCACTAATACAGGATACATAATTGATTAATACTGTATGATTTATTAGCCCTTTTAAGCACCTTGAACTATATTATAGCTATGGCCTTTATAGCTGTAAGGACCGTTTTATTATTTTCCTATCTTCGTTATGTCTTGGTTCTCAAACGCTTTTCCCGTTACACCTCTGGCTCTAGGGCTAGAGGTATCCTTTGCCATCTTACTTCTCATAGCCCTCACAGGCTTTCTTAACCATCGCTACCACTTTATATCACAGATCAGAGACTGGACATCGCTTCCAGCTAGCCAGCACACTGGGTAGGGACTGGTAGTAGGCATCTCGCCAACCAGCTCCAAGCCCCAGTAAAGCCTGGTAATACTAATAACGCCTTATCTAGAATCGTACCTCATTATGAGGATACGGTTCCTGACCACGCGTGACAATCTTCTATTATTAGTACAAATCTCTCACCTGCTGATTAATCAAGTCAGAAGTCGTACGATAGTTACCTCCCCTTTTTCTTATTGGTTGATTAATCCCTCAGACCACTTTTCGTATATTCTCTTTTCGGTCTGAGGCACGGACAGTTCCCTATATAAAGCCGTACCTATTCATGTATAGCTCCTTAGCTTTCTATTACTGAATTTACCCGCTTTACTCCTCAACAAGAACCTTTGAAGCTTACCTCTTAAAAGTCCTCGACTCGCTGTATTCATTAGCGTCTGTTGACCTCAAGCTCATCGAACCCTTACTCCCTGCAAGTGCAGAAGGAGATAGGTTTAGTTCTTGTTATAGTTTATCGTTGCCTCACAAAATAGAAAGCTCACTCTACAATCCGTTCACAGCGCACCATCTCGCTCGAACCCATTATAGCCCTAATCTACCTTTTCCTTCATCCCTCGGACGTGTTGTCATTCACCGTCCTCCTACCCATCCAAAACAACCACTTGCCTTCTAGCTAAGCTAGCTAGTTGTCCTCTCCAACATTCCTACCCACCTCGAAGTAATACTCTTACTTGTTCTAGCTCAAGTCCTCACCCTAACTGTCGTCTTTGATCACTTCTACAATCGTCAAACTGTCGAACATCAGAGAGAGCCTAGTAACGGACGAAGAACGACGTTCACTCGAGGAATTCCACCGCGCCCTCAACAACCGAGACCTCCACGTTGCAGTACCTGTCAACGTTGCCACGAACCCCCAGCCTGCCCACAGCGACACAGAAACTGAGTACTACGAAGACTCATCAGCCGCCTCTTCCCCCGTTTCTGAACTAGAAGGACTAGTTCTAGCCGTCGACGATTTAGCATTCGAAATCTCCCAACTCCGTCAATACGTCGCGCTTACTCGAGTACGCATCGGCAGCTGCTCAAACCTGCTTTTGGGAATCCGATCAAGCGTCCAGAGAATTGTACAGGCTCAATTCGATACACCTAGAGCACCTATCGATCGAAGTCTACGAACAAAGAATTCTAGAACCCCCTCGTCGGAACGACAGTGAAGAAAGACGAGCCCTCAGACGACGAGCGGCAGAACATAAAACAGCTCTTCTCATACTATCCGACGGAATCTCCCCACGCATCTATCACCTCCCGAACTACGTCGAAACTCCCCAACTTGGGTTCTCACCAGAACAAGACGGGAGAGAAATCCACTACCTACTTCCCTGCGGAATCATCATCCACCGACGACCCTACTCCGCACCCTACCTAGAATTCCTTACGCCCTATCTCGAACCATCCAAAATTGACGTATACGTTACAGCGTCATTTAACCCTACCCCTCTTGAACTTCTTTTTACAAGAATTGGAATTTACGAAACCGATCTCATCAAATTCTATCGGGAAATACCATTCTTCTTCGACGTCCCCCTCACTCCCGAACAGAACGACGCCTTCAACACACGAGATTATCTTAAAACAGGAGTCCACGTATTAGTTGTCACCCCTTTCTGCCGCGACGCAATACGAAGGATAGTAGCCTGCATATCGCAATTTCGCAGATTAGTGTTTAAGATTGGACACGAGATCCTCGAAGGAAGGAATTGGGAAAGAGAACAAAGACAGATCAGGAACGTCTGTCGATTGTTCAGAGAATACCAAAACTACGGAAAAGAAGTTTTTGATTTAGTCATCCGCCACCCCACAGATCGTTTCATCGTTACCGAGATCAACACCGAGTTCTGGGGAGTATTTATTCGAGAAAACAACAGAGTCTACTCGCAGTACAAACCAGAGTACCATCTGACCCACGGAAATTTCTCTTATATTCCTCCCGTCTCCTCGTTAATCCAAGGAAACATTCTTATAGAAAGAACCCCCTCACCAGACGAAACAACCTCGAACTTGGACAGTAATTCTACCACTAGCTCACAGGTAGAAAGAGATTTGGAAGAAGAAGAAAATATTTTTGGATTTACTTCTAACGATTGGAGTGACGAGT